GTCTCAATTCACGCCGCGATGCTGACAGTGTAAGTGTAAAAACGGAACACACCTAGATCTCATGTCAATTTAACGAAAACGTATCTACTTATTTATAAATGTAGATATGAAAATATTTTATAACTAAAAAAATGGTTATGTTTTATTGCCAAAATGGCTTGAAAAAAAAGTTGATTTCTAAAATTAAAAATAAAAAGGAATTTTAAAAATAAAATAATTATATTACACTCCTTAATTTGAAATTAAAAACAATATTTGGAATAATAAATGTATTTAAGTATAAATTTTATAACTTTAATAATACCTAATGAACACAAACAAAATTGATGTTAATAAAACATTATTGATTATCTGCACAAAACCGGACTTTCAGGAAAAATCGGTAGACGGAGCAACACTGTCGGCGTGCCATATACGCTACTACAAACCGCTGAGGAGAAGTAATAGTAATCCAGTGGAACAAATAAATTAGTTATAAAACATCGCGACGTTATAAAGAAATTTACACTGGTTAATTGCAACGCAGAGAATCTTAGTATTTGTAAAAAATCCTATGTTCCGGATTTAAAATTCCAAATGTGTATAGTAACTGCCAAACATTATACAGATGTACATACTATATAAAATCATCACTAATACATACCCAACGTATACAGAACATATATACAAAAGCAAAAACAGCTGGAGCACGCGCTCGCCGCGCGGAGAGAAACCGGTTTTCATGCGTGCGTATCTGACGTTAATAAAATAACTATAACTTATATTCTAGTGGGAATTTCTTTTTAAAATTTTAGGAGGGAGTTTTTGAATGTAAATGGAAGCGATTTATGTAAAAAAAAATTTTTGATTTTTTGAAAGTTTCGCATGAGACTGTCCCCTTAAATATTCCATTTACATATTATTATTTAACGAATGTCTTGAGGGAAAGCAAATATATCCTACATTTTGGAAAAATAACCACAAAATAATTAATGGGTCCAAATCAAGCAGACAAAAAATACATTTTATAATTTTATCTCAATCCATGCATCAGATTTTAACCTATAAAATTAATTAAAGAGCCTCTTGGGTAACCCTGTTTGATTTTCAACTCTCTCATCCGTTTGAAATAATCTGTTTCATGTACACAGCACAATTTTCAGAATTTTTAATTAAAAATTATGGAATCACCAAACCTTGTTTACTTGATAACTTCAACAAGTATTTTGTAACTGTATATCCTCGAAAAATATAACCAATGCAGAGTGGGTTACGAGTCGGTTAATTCAGTCTCCGTTCAAATTTTTGTCAAATCTATATGTGAGTTTTTTAGAATATTGATGCCTATTTCAATATATCGGCTATATTAAAGCATATTAAATATTAGAAATTTTATCATTTAAGTTGAAAATTTCTTATTTTAAATCATTTTTGTTTCTGCAATATATTCTAAATTTTCTTTGTGCGATATATTCTAAATTTTCTTTGTGCGATATATTCTAAATGGAAGTTCCTATGATATATTACATACTTGTAATGCACTATTTCTACTAAATGTTAAAAGATAGTTAAAGTAAAGACAAAATGCATGTAAAAAGCGTCGCTGAAAGGAAAAAGTTTAAAGCTTAGTGAAGGAGAAACAAACTATCAATATTGTTTATAATAAATTTATATATATATATATATATATATATATATATATATATATATTGTTTATAATAAATTTAAACAAATTCAAGACAGAAACAAGAAATACCACAAATATTCGAAGAAATAAATAAAACGTGGAATGAAATAAAAAGCACCGCATAAAACCCAAAAACAATCATTAAATGTCAGGGAAAACCTTATAATTAGAAAAAAAAGAGTTATGCTACAACATAGCTATGTCCGAGTTCCTTCTTCAAGAAAATGTCATCCCTCACCAACAGCATGGATTTATCAAAGGTCGTTCAACGATGACAAACTTACTTCATTGTGTAAATGATTGATCATTATCTTTAAACAATCGGAATCCTGTCGATGTAGTTTACTTAGACTTCTCCAAAGCTTTCGATCGTGTTCCAAAACGTCGATTACTAGCTAAATTGGATCACTATGGTATCCGCGGAAAATTAAACATTTGGATACAAGATTTTCTATCCGACAGATACTTCAAGGTTCGTGTAGGGGAAGACCACTCATTAGATAAGCCAGTCAAGAGTGGAGTTCCACAAGGATCAGTACTTGGACCGCTACTTTTTTGTGTCTACACTATTGATCTTCCGCTCATTGTATCCAGTAAGGTTTCCATTTACGCTGATGACCCTAAGTTATATGTGAATCCAACTATTAACTAACATATTCTTCAACAAGATCTTGACGCAATATTCAAATGGTCCTCAGAATGGTTACTTCCGCTTAACATTGAAAAATGCGTCGTTTTACATATCGGCAAAAATAACCCATCACTTCCGTACTTTATTAATGGACATCCTTTAAACTCTGTAACCTCACACAACGATCTCGGAGTGATAATTAATAGTGACTTAAATTGGTCTGATTACATAGTGTCGGTGTGTAAACGTGCTAACTCGAAACTGTTTTTGATTCGTAAGTGTTTTGCACGCATATCTCTAACCTCTGTTAGTAAACTTTACTCAATATACGTTAGACCTATTCGTGTGAAATCCAGATCTTAGTCGCGATAAAATCCTACTTAAAAACGTTCAGCGTAAAGCCACAAGACTATCATACGGCCGTGTAAGACCTAACTATGAAGATAGACTATTCATGGCTCATCTTACGACATTCGAGCAGCGACGTCTTCGAGGTGACCTAATTATGTCCTTCCGTATTTTAAAACATAATTTTGGGAACCTAAACAACATATTCACTTTGAATGAAGACGATAGATTAAGAGGCCATCGATACAAATTAAAGAGTGAACAAACTACTGCAAGGTCCAGGGCGAACTTCTTGCCAAACAGAATCTTTAATATCTGGAACAATTTGGATCAAGACACCATATCGGCAGCTAGTGTTAACATCTTTAAAAATAAACTTGATAGCACTTTATTTTTTTTATAGGATAGGATATTTTTTCTCGGACAGCATTATTTATTTATTTATTGTGTCACAATTCAATTTTCGTTAATTGTTTAACTACTCAACTTTATAATTAGTATTAGTTATATAAGGATCTATTTTATTTTTGTTAATTTTTGCTTTTTGGGCATAATAGGAGCTCGCTCCTCTGCCCTTATTTGTTATATAATAATAATAATAATAACATAGTACCAACACAGGAAGCCACATTTAAGAAATAGCGGAACTGTACAGAAGAATAAAATGGATTTGCACCAGAGGTAAAATCTACCATTTATGTAAATAACGTGTGTCAAGAACTGGAGCAACATGCAAACCGCCATAAAAATCATGAACTATTTAAAAAAGTTAAATATCTGGTCCGAGAGTTGATGCCAAAATTTCAAGCTATTCAAGAACATAATGGAGAAGTAAAAACCGACACGGATAGCATTGACGAGACATGGAAAAATTACTGCTCAGATTTGTAGAACAAAGACACTTCAAAGGATGTATAAGTCTTAGAATACAAGAAACATGAGATAAGTGAGCCATAACTAATAATCTTACGAGCAGAAGTGAAGAAAGTTCTCCACCGACTAAGAAACAAAAAATCCCTAGGGATTGATGGTATATAAGCGGATACACTAAAAGCAATGGGAGAGGTTGGCGTAGATGTAACACTGGATATGTGCAACATATTATGGATCACAGGTGAATGATCAGTAATTAAAAAAGGGTTTAGTTCAATATTGACTAATAAAAAATTGACTTGAAGAGCTTCAAAATAAACATTGAACACAAAAATTAATCTTGCTTTGCCATTGAGAAACACGAGGCAACTTGATGACTAATTGGACGGCGTTATGTATCGCTAGACCAAGCGCCATTTTCTCAAATTCCGGTGCTTTCTAGTAGGAAATAGCATAAACTATCTACAGAATAAATCACATTTTTCTGTTAGTAACGGTTAACTGCAATACTTGGGTCATGTGTTGAGAGGTGAAAAATATGAATTACTTCTAGTTATACTGAAAGGAAAAGTACAGGGCAGAAGATCAGTAGGAAGACGCCAGAACTCATGGCTGAAAGACCTAAGGAGATGGTTCGACCGCTCATCCCCAGAAATCTTTTGCGCAACAGTATCCAAAATCACAATTGCCATTTGGATCGCCAACCTTTAAAAGGAGATGGCGCCATGGGAAGAAGAACCGTTAATAACTAGATATATTTAAAAAGACCAACTGCCTTTCTTCTTATTCTTAATTTTGAATTTTGCTAGACGAAGCGACTAATTTTGTGTATTAGTTTTGCATCAGTAGACCAAGCGCATCTTACGACCGTTTTAATGATTGTAAATCGAATATTTGGCAACATACGTACATGAACGTTGTTGACAATAACTTGTTGATGCGTTTAGGTTAAGAATTAGTGGCAGTAATTGCTTACATTTTTCTACAGAAGATGCACAAAAAGAATCACTTCAGATGCCTTCAACTTCTAAAAAAGAAACAAGAAATAACATTATTCATCTGCAGGAACAAAAAGAAGAGAAAAAAGCAATAGACAGTAAAGTGATAAAAACTGTTCGCCCATGGGAAGACCAAAAAAAGGAGAATGCGAAGTACTTAAATCAAAAAAAGTTGTTAAAGTTGTTAAAGTTGTATTTAAATCAAGATTCAGTTCACATAGAGAAATGTATGTAAAAAATCAAAACAGTTCCGTATGTATCTTTGTAATTGTGAGTATTTGGACAAGATTGGTGTGGATAACGCCAAAAATGAATTTGATAAGTTTTACAATGTTGAATCTCATAATGCTCAGAGATATGTAATTTGTTCAAATATTTTCGAAGTCCCAATAAAGCGTAAAAGAACAAAACCCAGCAACAAAAGAAATACTACAAGAATGTACACAATATCCGCCGTAACAGTATGTAACCCTTTTTTTTACAGGCCTTGAGAATATCAAGTTGCAAAGTCAATGCAGCATTGAAAGCTATGAAACGTCCAATGGGTGTTCTAGATTGTCGTGATTAAAGTGGAGGTCATAATAAAATTAATGATAATCGTGTACAAAAAGTAATTAAGCACATATAACAAAATTCCCTAAGTACAAGTCACATTACAGAAGAGCTAACACAAAAAGAGAATATTTAACAAAAGACACAACATTAAGTAAAATATATGAATTGTATATTAAAGAACCAGACAATGATCCTGTTAAATTTTCGTTTTACAAAAAAATTATTTTTAATACGATTTTTCAAAGAAAAAAGTTGAAAAAAGATGCTTGTAGTAGATGTAATTGTTTTGAATTAGAAATTAAAATTTGCACAGATACCGAAAAATTAAGCAAGTTAAAGGAAGAAAAAGATGTACACTTAGGAGAAGCTGAAAATGCAGAATCTTAAGAAAGCTAGACATAAAGATGAGCAACGATCAACCAGAAATGAAAAACTTTTGTTTTGATTTAGAAAAAACTTTTCCCATTACAAGAATTCCAACAAATATTGTATATTATAATCGTCAATTATATCTTTACAACCTTTTACCAACTACCAGACCAGGAAGTAGGCAGTTGTCTTAAGAAACACATTGAAGAAAATGTTACTTCTGCAAAACAGGTAATTTTGTGGTCAGACTCTTGTGGCGGTCAAAATCGCAGCATGAAAATAGTTTTGATTCAAAAACCGATTTTGGAAACGCCTCCTACCATTGAAACAATTACATTTCATTATCTCTTTCCTGCTAATAGTTTTTTATCGAATGATAGTAATTTTGGAGATACTAAACGTTTATATACAGTTAATGATTACCTAAATGTAATAAATAAATCCAATAAAAAGAAGCCACTAGTATTTCACATAATGAAAAAGAAGAATGCGTTGGAACAAAAAAACCTCTGAGTATATTTATGAAAACTGGTTTTAACACTACTGAAGTTGAAGTATATCTTCACAAGAAACTTCAAAAAGGACGACCCGTTGCAATGCATTCGCTAAGTAACCACTTGATTCCTCTTTGGCCCAAAGGCAAGCCACTTTCAGTACTGTGCCTAAGCTTAACGACTTAAGATATTTAATAAAGCTAATACCAAATGATGCAAAGAAGGCTCCCTTTTCAGTAACAACACAGTAGAAGATGATATTGACAAATTTGATGGAGACTTAGACTTTGGCATACAAGATGAGTGATGTTTATTTACTATTTTCATAATATTTAGAAACTGTTACCTACTGTTAACACTGAGTTCAAGTTTTTTTTCTATTTTTGATTAATTCGCTAAGTAATATAAAATATTCAAAACAACGACTTTTATTATCATAGCCAAAAAGAAGAAATAGCTTGTGGCCTATTGATTATTCACTAAAAGTGATATTTAAGTTACGCATCACTATACCAAACGACTTATATGCGATGTATAACACAATTACACAATGTGAAGAAAATCGTAAGGTGACCAAAAACCTTTTTATTGTTTTTTCGTTTTTCTTCAACATTAGCAAGTTCCTATTTAGCACTTAAAAAAAATATAAAAAACTGTCTTCAAAAACAGTCAAATATCTCAAAATCAATTTTTGGCGCTTGGTCTAGTGATGCATAACGCCGTCCAATTAGAAATTTTTATAAAAAAGTATTCAAAAAGTAGCTTATATTTTTTTTAATAATAGTTGATATTGTTTTGGAATTTTAATTGACAAGAAATAACATTAAATCTATAGAAGATAAGAATTTACTTTTTTTTGTTCCATGAAAGGCCAATAGTATCTTGTCTCTAAGCTACCTTAAAACTAGAACTAAACGAAAAAAGAAAGACTTTTAGATCAAAGCATTATATATATATATATATATATATATATATATATATATATATATATATTATATATATATATATATAAATAGAGTTTGTATAACGACGCTAAGAATACAATTCTTTGGAGGGTAACTTTCGGGAAAGCGTCAAAACAAGGATCAGCTAGAGATGGTATAAGCTAGAGATGGTATAAGCCAGTAAGGTTCTACACCAAACTGGCTTATACCATCTCTAGCTGATCCTTGTTTTGACTCTTTCCCGAAAGTTACCCTCCAAAGAATTATATATATATATATATATATATATATAATATATATATATATATATATATTTATTTATTTCCTACTAATTCTCTCAATAAGCATAGTTTCAATCTGTTTTAAGTTGTGTGATAAGAGTTGTTATCAGAACAATGTCCTCCGCAAATCGTAAATGAGAGAGCATTTTGCCATCGACATTGATTCATTTGGCTTCACACTCCAATGTTTTAAAAGAATTTTACAGAACTGCTGTAAAAAGTTTGGGAGGTAACGTGTTTCCTTACCTAATTCCTCTTTTGAGCTTTTACATACATTTTGTATCTTTGTGTAGTCTTATAGTCATGGCTGAATTATTGTATATTTGCGATCAACTTGGACTACCGATAATCTATGTGACTTTCCATCAACGCTCTCATTACGCTGTTGATTCTATCGTATCGAATGCTTTGCGAAAGTCTATAAAAGCTAGGATCAATGGTCGGTTGCATTCAAAATATTTTTCTATATGGTAAGTGCACTATGCCATCTTGTAGGTATTTCAATTTACTAGAGACTTAATTTTTTTACTTTCTGTAAATGTCCATCTGCTTTAATCTTAACGGCTGTTCTATAACGATATTATCTTCTGCCAGCGCCTTATTCCAGCGTTAATATTTCCTATCGCAATATACCAAAATGTCTGTTAAGTTGTGTAATTTTTAAAATTTGACTTTAACAAAAAGTAACAGTCAAATTAAAATTTTGATATCCTGCTTATCACTGTCAAAATTGTAAAACTTCTATTTTTGACATTGAAAAAAGTCATCTTCCCCCAGACTACAACTATTTATTGAAATGGAAGTTCCCTACATAATTTAGATTTTTAGTATTTCTTTTTAAGTTTTAGTTACAAAAATTGCAGATCCTGTTTATATCCATTTTTTACTTTAACCAATAATTTGCGACAGTATATCATCGAAAAGAAACAACCAACCGAGAGTGGGTTGTGTATCGAGCTATTTATGTAATATTTATACCATGACTCCAGTAATTCTCCAGGGAGAAGAAGACATTTCGGTCCATCTAAAACAATACTACAATACGAGTACACAGTGATTTATAATCACATCCAGTCCGAACCACCTATCAGAATCTGTCCAGATTATTGTTTTTCACCCGAAAGGGTAAAACAGGGCTGTATTGAAAAGATTTATTACTCAGTTTTGTTATGGGTTTTACTGAATAAGTTTTTAATATTCTCGATATATAAATCTTTGCAGATATAATTGCAGTTTGGAACGTAGTTATGTATTTTTCTAAAGTGTTTCTGAAAACATAAAGCAAATATATACCGACACCTGATTGAAAAATATTGTAACTCATTTTCGCTTTCCTCAGCTTTTCACTTTCACGTATTGCATTTTTGTATAAATTATAGGTCCTAATTTAGGTCTAGTAACAATACCAAGTTTTTCAAGAAATTTAGGTTAAGACCATTGTAAGTGATTTATACAATGATATTTTGACAAAGTTTGTTTCTTTGATTAGGTGCATATAAAAGGTAACTAATGAGTAAATAAATCAAAATAAAGAGATTATTTTTAGTTCTTTTATTAATTTTACCCTAAGGTTATTTTTTTAATAATACAAGGCAAGATTAGATTAGATTAGAATAAGAAATGTGGCCTTTCGGCCTAGTCCACTGCGACCTTTTCAGATCTATTGTGGTCCTCTAGTCCTAGATAAAATTCTCTAGCCTGACCCTATTTACAAAATCTACTAGCTTCGAGACTTTACCTTCCATGTAGCTATTTGTGGGTAGATTGTTTTCTCTTAATACAAAAAACCGCACATTTTCCACATTGTCACACTGACATAAAATGTGCTCTGCTCATTTTAAAGGCAAGATATATGGAAGACATTCTTGCCTTGTATTATTAAAATAAGTATATTATATATCTCTTATTAACGCATAACACGGCAAAAATATTCCAGTTTATGATTTTTAACTGTTCTGACCACTTCCGTAACTTTTCCCATCCCACCAACACATAACATCTTATTAATCTAATTTTCACTCTCAAAGTAATATTGCTTCCACAAAAGATTTTTTAATCTTAATAAATCGGGCCTTCTCTATGCTTATTTTAATTTTCGGCACATCTCCCAATTAGCTCTCATTTGGATTTCAATTAAAATAGGTCATATTTTTTGGTTCTTTATAGTTTATCTTGATAAGCTGTTACCACTTCTGGTTGTCTTTTTACTGACAGTTATCACAGTGGATGACAGTGGAGGATAGACTTACTTCAGGGATGCGATCTGCCCTACGCAAGCCTTGATTCTCTTTCAACTCCCGTGGAGAGAAATCATGTCCTAACCCCATTTTTACCCAATACCTAATATCCTACCAATTTCCCAAACCAACTCACCAACCCGCTTGGCAAGCGTGGTGTTTAAATGCCAAAATCCCCCCAGCCTGAACAGACATTCAAGAAAACGGCCTTCAGTCCCCGGCAGCTCGCTAGTTTCCGACCAAGGTAGCGGTAGGACTCACGAACAGCGGGTAGAGGGTGCGAAGAATCCCCGGGATGTACAAGGCTACCAAGAACGACGAACGTTGCACATAATTACGTATAATGTAAGAACCTTATCTAAGGATAAAAAAAAATGACAGAACTGGAGGAAGAACTGAATCATGTGAAATTGGATATTATAGGAATTAGCTTAGTTAAAAGAAGAGGTGAAGATCAGGTCAAACTAAAATCAGAAAAAATATTCTACTATTAAGGGGAAACGGAATCGACAACTGGAGGAATAGGTTTATTAGTACACAAAAAATTACAGAAAAATATACAGAGCATTGACTGCATTTTTCCAAGAATTATGTATATAAATCCAAGACTAAATAAGAAATACAATCTGAAAATAATCCAGGTATACGCCCCCACCAGCGATTACGAAGATTAAATTGTCGAAGCCTT